GAGGGGTCGCTATGAGTCAGGTTTGACTCGACGGCACATAACAACAACAACAACATAGGAGGTGAGGAGCTCTGGTGGCATAGTGCCTAATGCATCTGACTGCTAACCAGAAGGCTGGTGGTTCAAACCCAACTCCCCAGAAGGAAGGTTGGGCAATCTACTGCCATAAAGATGCTGCCTTAGAAACCCAAGGACGGGTCGCTATGAGTCAAATCAACTCAATGGCAGTGAGTTTGGTTTGGTTTTTGGATAGGAGGTGACACTTTCCTTTAAGTAAAGAAAAAACTCCAGACTGTTTGCACAGCGAAATGTTAACAGCATAATTGTTCAATCGGGGGGCTAGAGATATGGCAGTTCATTATTCTCTTCTCTCTTTTTGTTTACATTTTGTAACTTTCATAATAAAAAGAAAACAAACAAAAAGCCTTATTTATAGGCTGGAGTTAAAGGAAGAGAAGTAGGTATAAGAAACGTTCCACCACACTTCCCACAAGCTGAGAATTTTGCAGGAAAGCTGCTCTCGGGAATTGTTTTGATTTCTGTGAAGGACACTCAGGGTTGGGGAGGACGGGCTCTCTATGTACCTTATCACTTTCTGACGGCCAAATGGTCATTGACAAGAAACGTATGGCAACAACGGGCAGTAAGGACACTGCAACAGTCAAGATGATGGTCAACCAGAGATATGGCTGTCTCAGAGCATTTGAAGCGGCACCTGCAAACAACAGGAAGGGTGAGTAACAGCAGTCCCTTTATCCAAGGGCAGAGCTGATGTTCCATAACCCAGAAGAGATTACCCATGATAGCTGTACCACAGTGGGCTTCCCAAAGCACCCATCACTGCTCCAGGAATGACTTTTTTCTGGTTCTTTCTGTTTGATTTTATTTATTTTTCTTCATCCAAATTAATGTGTCTACCCTCTAGTTAGTGGTTTACCCTTCCTTTCCCACCCACCCCTGGTAACCATGAAAGAACATTTCTTTTTTTCTGTGAAAGCCTTTTCTTGATTTCTTGCAACAGTGGTCTCATACAATATTTGTCCTTTGATGACTGACTAATTTCACTCAGTATAATGAGCGCTAGTTCATCCATGGTATGAGACGTCTCACAGGTTCATCATTGTAAGAATGGACATTTTAAAATCCAACTAAGCAAAGCAAGTAGGAAAGTCAATTCTTTGGAACAAGGTGGGTTTGCATAATCAAGCAAACAAAAAAGGAAAAAAAAATGAGTATGTTCACATTGCCTTGATTAAGAATGCAAAATTGGGCAAATACATATTTCTAGGGAGCTCTGGTAGCATAGTGGCTAAGACACTTGCCTGCTAACCAGACGGCTGGCGGTTCAAACCCACCAGCCACTCCTCGGAAGGAAGGTTGGGCAATCCTACTTCCGTAGTGATACTGCCTCGAAAACCCAAGGAGGGGTCGCTATGAGTCGGGGCCGACTCGACGGCAAACAACAACAACAACAACAGTCCCTCCCACCCCCAAGAGTTTACAAAGAACTTTATAGTTTTAGTTTGAAACTCTAAAAAGATTAATAGTAGCTGGTACCACCATTTTGTGATAGGCTTTGGCCTTGGTATTTCATACAGATCAGGCTATTTAATCAACTGTGAGAAGCAAGTATAATTCTTTGCCACATAAGGAATCTGAGTCTTGGAGAAGTTAAGAAACTTGCCTCAAGTAACAGAACTAGCACGATAAGCCTGGGATTAAAAGCCATGATGTTCTGACTAGAGCCCATGCTTTCCCCACAATTCAGATTCTAGAATCTAACAGTTCAGTTCTACAGTATAATTAGGAAGCAGACACACTAGTCAATTAAAAAATTATTATCAACATCTTCTATAACCAAATGTTGGGATTGACTCCATGGCAGCGGGTTTGGTTTTGTTTATAACCAAACTTATTGTAATGTTTTCTGTATTTACACTATAAAGTTTATACAAACAATAGCCTTCATTTTTCTAAAATGTGGTTTTTATAGTGGGGAGCTCTGGTAGCATAATGCCTAAAGCACTTGACTGCTAACCAGAAGGCTGGCAGTTCAAACCCACCAGCCACTCCTCGGAAGGAAGATGGGCCAATCTACTTCCGTAGTGATACTGCCTCGGAAACCCAAGGAGGGGTCGCTATGAGTCGGGTCTGACTCGACGGTACATAACAACAACAACAAATGTGTATGGGTTTAAAAACACTCCCTGTGGGAATATGCTAAGTTCCTGGGTGCTAAATTTTAAAAATACAGTCAATGAAGAAGAACATAAAAACAAACATTCCATCCCAAGAAGAAAAGGGTTACTATACCAAGTGTTTTTAAAACCTAACCCTGGTCATTAAAAAAACCTAATCTTTCACAGGGAAACTACACTTTATGGGAATTCCTTTCATTGTGAATCCAAGCTACTCTGTTCAAAATAGGAAGCTCATAAATTCCAAATATATTTATCAGTTCAAATTAACTTGTGGCATTTGTCACTATGTCATATAGTTTATACAGCTATAACCACTGGCCACAGAACTATTTTGTTTTCTGTAGCTATTAGTTTACTTACTACTTTGCATACTTATTTCCAATGATACACCCCACTTTAGAGTTCTAGGATTCTATCATATTGCTATTTCATACCTTGATTAGCAAATTTAATATTTCTAGTTCTTTTGGTCATTTACTTTTTAAACAATTATAAATCTTGCAGTGGTAGAATTTTTGTACAAATTACCTTTTCACATACGGTGTTTTTAATCTTAGGATATTTTTCCCCAAGTGGAAATGTTGGGTGAAAAGGTATGAATAGTTATAGTTCATAATACATTTCCAGATTAGTTTTGGAAAGATTAAGATGAATGTATACTTAATTTCCCAATAACGTAGCAATGCAGAGTTTATGGGAGGCAAACTTATCTAATTTAATAGATGCCAAATTGTATCTTAAAGTTGTTTGACTTGTTTTCCTCCCACCACGTAACTGCCCTTCCAATCCACCACCACCACTCAATTTCCCTTCCAGACACTGATTCTCACTAGCAACGTTTTCCCTTTTAGTATTTTTTATTTACCCAGAAGTTATGTCGAAATCTATAGGAATAACATTTTTCTGTACATTTAGTTCAGGAATTTAGGAAATACCCACCTGTGAATTGAAACATAGAAGGAAAGAGAACGTGGATTCCAGCACTGTGGAAGTCAAACATGATGCCAAAGTACAGGGCGATGCTTCCAAAGATGGAGAAGGCATTCACAAAGGTCCAGTAGGAGGTATCCAAGCCGATCTGTTGGAAACCAGAGGAAAACAGAGCGCTTATTCTGGGGAGCTGGCAAGAAATCAAGCGTCTAAGAATTCTGAAAATGGGATTCAGCTTCAGAGGCATGATTTGACTTGAACACTCAACAACCAAACTACCTTTGGCTTAGTCAAGAAAAAGGAAATATGCTCAGTAAAAGGGCTAAAAATAGCTCTCCTATTTCGTAAAGTGGCCGAGGCCCAGTTGGAGGGGAAGGAGAGCCACGCCAGTCTGTGGGGAGAAGTACAGACACTGAGGGCAGTCAGCTGAGACTTGTACCTGGAAATTCACGGTTATGATAAGAGCAGAGGCAACTGTGACAGCGAAAGACTGGTAGTCCGAAGGGGCCTCTCCGTCCTGCCCCATGGTTTGCAGGTAGGCTCCCAGGGGGATGAAGAAGAGGATCATTGAGGTTAAGATTCCATGCAACAAGCTTACGAAGAACTTCCTGTAGTTAAATAGTAAGTCTCTTTGGCCCACAATGTATAATCCCGGGAACCGGAGGCTCAGCTTATCACTCACATCCTTCAAGGGAAAACACAATTAGAGTTGTGTGCATTCATCAGGCTGAAAGAACTCAGAGATACAGTACCATTCATACCTTACAAAGAGCTTCAATTTGTGGTTAAGTTTTAGGAAGGGAAATGCTGAACGAGACGATAAATCCTGCAATATTTTCAGATTGTAGAGATCAGTCTCATTACTTTATTCCACAATGATTTAATATTTAATTTAGAGAGGGACTAAGGAAAAGTTGACTGTTTGGTATGTATGGAAAGAAAAAGCAGTAATGTCAGATAACATGTAGAGAGACTATTTTTACCTTCTAAGAGAATATAGGAGCTCTGGTGGCATGGTGGTTAAAGCATTCAGCTGCTAACCAAAAGGTCGGTGGTCTGAATCCACCAGCCACTCTATGGGAGAAAGATGAAGCAGTCTGCTTCCGTAAAGAGTTACAGCCTTGGAAACACTACAGACAGTTATACTGTGTCCTAAGGGGTTGTTATGAGTTGGAATTGACTCTATGGCAGTGGATTTGTTTTTCTGGATTAAAAGAATATACTGTTTCAAATTCTTTGGGAAAATATTTTCACGTACAGTTAGTGAGTTTATTCCAAATTACTCTTTTTATTCATTGAAAAGCCTTTTTCTCTAAGAACTGCTATTAGATCAAATTTAGACTAATTTGTGGATTAGACACATAAGTTGGGAAAGTAGTAATATACTTTAAATTAAAAATGAGTTAAGTTAAAACAGAACGACCGGAACGGAAATCATGATCATGGTCACATATTGTGAAGAATGGATGTAATGTCAGGAAACAATTTGTGCAGAAAACTATTGAATGGGCACCTAAAGTGTTGAATCAGCCTTCACCAAAACCTAAGTATTATTTTATTAAAAATGAGTAAGTTATTATTATAGGGAAATATTACACTGTCAAGTGTCTTAACAATAAGGCCTTGGTATCCTAAGGAACCATAATAAACTCTTTTGTCAATAAACTCAACCCACTTCTGGAATCCTCTTGTTAACTATGTAACAAGAAGTGCAGTAGTTACTCTTGTTGCCTGACAAAGGAATTATAATGGGCTTTACTCAGAAAGAAGTGAAAGCCAAAAGGACCTGTTGAAGTAATAGCTTTTAACTTCTCTACCAGGCCATTAACCTGTCCAAGGGCGTCCCTTTCAGAAGGAGGCTCCCACCTGGTCCAGCAGGCCCATGAGGAGGACGGGAAGGCTGGAGTACAGCACGTTGTAGAGGGTGATGAACCAGTCCTCATACGCCGTCTGTAGGAGGACAGAGTGTCTGTTACTGACAAAGAAACGTCAGTCTCATTTACACAAAGTCATCTGCTTCCTCAAAGAAAAGGGCTATGAGGCTCCGTGGACACCCCCAGCCCAAAGGGAGACTTCAGCCAGAGCAAACACTCATCACCTAATACCTGTAGGAGACGTGAGTCCGTTTCTACATAAAAGACAGAATCAAAGACCCTTCCATATAAATGAATTTCTCCCTCAAAGTAAGTGAGGACATTCTCCAAAAGTTGTTGGTTTTACTAGTTGCCGTGGAGTCGATTCCAGCTCATGGCAATCCCACGTGGGTCGGAGTAGAACTGTGCCCCACGGGGTTTTCAATGGTTGACTTTTTAGAAGTGGATCACCAGGCCTTTCTTTCAAAAGTTGTTGGTAAAAGGGTGTATTTTATCTGAATAATGCTGGAAAACATCATCTTTTTATATTGTTAAGTAAAACGGAATGAAACAGCCTGATCTGGCTTCATCCTTATAGCCACCGCCATGCTCCGGTCCACTGTCGCAACCACCAAGTCAAATCCATCTTGTTGAGGCCTGCCCCTTCTCACTGACCTTCTACTTTATCAAGTATGATACCCTTTTCCAGGGATTGTTTCCTTCTGACAGCGTGACCAAAGTACAAGGGACAAAGTCTAGATGAAGTCTAACCATTCTTACTTCTAAGGAACATTCTGTCTGCTTCAGCCAAGACAGATCTGTTCATTCTTCTAGCAGTCCATGGTACATTCAGTATTCTTCACCAACACCATCACTCAAATGCATCAGTTCTTCTGCAGTCTCCTTTATTCACTGTCCAGCTCTCATGTGCATATGAGGTTACTGAAAATACCATGACTTGCATCAGGAGCACCTTACTCTTTAAAGTGACATATTTGCCCTTAAAAATTTTAAACAGATCTTTTGCTGCAGATTTGCCTGATGCAATATGTCATTTGATTTCTTGACTGCTGCTTCCATGGGCGCTGATTGTGAATGCAAGTAAAATGAAGTCCTTGACAATTTCAATCTTGTCTTCATTTAATATGTTGCTTATTGGTCTACTTGTGAGGATTTTTGTTCTCTTTATGTTGAGGTATAATCCATATTGAAGTCTAAAGTCACAGAACTTGATCAGTAAGTACTTCAAGTTTTCTTCACTTTCAACAAGCAAGGTTGTATCATCTGCCTATCGTAGGTTGTTAATGAGTCTTCCTCTGATCCTGATGCTGGATTCTTCTTCCTATAGTCCAGCTTCTTGGATTATTTGCTTAGCATACAAACTGAATAGGTATGATGAAAGGATACAACCTTGATACACACCTTTCCTTATTTTAAACCATGCAGTATGCCTCGGTCTGTTCAAATGACTGCCTGTTGGTCTATGTACAGATTCTCATAAACACAATTAAGTATTCTGGAATTCCTGTTCTTCATGTTACCTATCATTTGTAGCTGAATACCTTTGCATAGTCAATAAAACATAGGTAAACATAGTTCTGGTATTCTTTGCTGTCAGCTAAGATCCATCAACAGTGTTATCCCCTCATTCCATGTCCTCTTCTGAATCTAGCTTGAATTTCTGTCAGTTCTCTGTCAGTATACTGCTGCAACCGTTATTGGATTATCTTCAGCAAAATTTTACTTATGTGTGATATTAATGATGTTGTTTGATAATATCCACATTCTGTTGGATCACCTTTCTTTGGAATGGGCACAAATTTGGATCTAATCCAGTAGGCTAGCCAGACAGCTGTCTTTCAAATTCCTTCTCATAAATGAGTGAGTGCTTCTAGTGTGGCACCTGTTTGTTGAAACATCTCAGTGGGTATCCCATCAATTCCTGGAGCCTTGTTTTTCACCAGTGCCTTCAGCGCAGCCTGTACTTTTTCCTTCGATACTGTTGGTTCTTGACCACATGCTACTTCCTGGAACGACTGAATGTTAATCAATTCTTTTTGGTATAGTGACTCTGTGTACTATTTTCCATCTTCTTTTGATGCTTCCTGCATCATTCAATATTTTGCCTGTAGAATCTTTTTCAGTGTTATAATTTGAGGCTTGAATTTTTTCTTCAAGTTTCAGCTTGAGAACTGCTGAGTATTTTCTTCCCTTTTGATTTCTAACTCCAAGCGTTTACAAATTTCATTATAATACGTTAGTTTGTCTTCCTGAGCTGCCCTTTGAAATATTCTGTTTGGTTCTTTTACTTTATCATTTCTTCCATTCGCTTTAGGTACTTTATTTTCAAGAGCAAGTTTCAGAGTCTCTTCTGACATCCATTTTTTTTTTTCTTCCTTTCCTGCCTTTTTAATGACCTTTTGCTTTCTTCATGTACGATATCCTTGATGTCATTCCACAACTCGACAGGTCTTCAGTCACTGATGTTCAACACGTCAGATCTATTCTTCAGATGGGCTCTAAATTCAGGTGGGATCTACTTAAGGTTGTATTTTGGCTCTCATGGACTTGTTTTAATTTCTTCAGCCTCAACTTCAGCTTGCATAGGAGCAATTGATGGTCTGTTCTTCAGTTGGCCCCTGGCCTTGTTCTGACTGATGATATTGAGCTTCTCCATCATCTTTTTCCACAGATGTAATCTATTTTATTCCTCTGTATTCGATTTGGCAAGGTCAACATGTATTTTATGTGGTTGAAAAAAAAGATATTTACAATGAATAGTTGGTCTTACAAAATTCTGTCATGGGATGTCTGGTGCCATTTCTATCCCCAAGTCCATATTTTTCAACTACTGATGCTTCTTCTTTGTTTCCAGCTTTCTCATTCCAATTACCAGTAATTATCAATACATCTTGATTGCATATTTGGTCAATTTCAGACTGTGGAAGTTGGTAAAAATCTTCAATTTTTCAACTTTGGCTTTAATGGTTGGTACACAAATTTGAATAATAATCATGTTAACTGGTTTTCCTTGTAGGCATGTGGATAGTATCCTATCACTGACAGTGCTGTACTTCAGGCTAAATCTCAAAATGTTCTTTTTGATGATGAATGCAATGCCATTCCTCTTCAATTTGTCATTCTCTACATAGTAGACCATATGACTGTCCAATTCAAAATGGCCCATACCAATCCATTAATCCCTAGGCTCACTAATGCTTAGGATATCCAATCTTTATGCATTCCATTTCATTTTTGACAAGTTCCAGTTTTCCCAGATTCATACTTCATACATTCCATGCTAATGGATGTTTGCAGCTGTTTCTTCTCATTTTGAGTCATGCAATATCAGCAAATGAAGGTTCTGAAATTTCACTCCATCTATGCATGGTCAACTGTAGTTGGAGGTGGCAGCTCTTGCCCAGTTGTACTTTGAGTGTGTTCCAATCTGAGAGGCTCATCTTCTAGCACTGTATCAGACAATGTTTCTTGCTATTCAGAAAGTTTTCAGTGGCCAATTCTTCAGAAGTGGCCCTGGCCATGTTCTTTTTTCCAGTCTGTTTCAGTTGGAAAGCTCCCCTGAAACCTGCTGGTAACTGAAATACTGGGGGCATAGCTTCCAGTATCATCAGAGCAGTATGCAAGCCACCACAGTGGGACAAACTGACTGACGAGTGACAGCATCGTTTTATATTCACTTATTAATGCATTGTTGTTGTTGTTGTGTGCCGTCGAGTTGGCTCCAACTCATAGCGACCCCTCCTTGGGCTTCCGAGGTGGTATCACTACGGAAGTAGGATTGCCCAACCTTCCTTCCGAGGATTGGCTGGTGTGTTTGAACCGCCAGCCTTCTGGTTAGCAGTCAAGTGCCTTAGGCACTATGCTACCACAGCTTCTATTAATGCATTAGAGTCACTAAAATAAAAAGCTGGCTCAAAATCAAGCATCATTGAAATGGTCTTTAACTTTGCAATTCCAGCTTTTCCATTAAAAATATCTAAAACAGAATTTGATTGACTCTAAAAATCATGTTTCTGAAGAGCTAAGCACACTCCATAGTGAGCTGGACAAGAGGAAATGAGCCTTCTCAGGGCCAAAGGTTACATACAGTCCTGTACAGAAATGGAGAGGAGACTCGTCCCTAACCAAGGTCTCCATTGGCCCTCGGTTTCTTAGGTTTCTCTGACACCATTTGCCTTCAGCACAGCATCAAGGGAGTTTGGGCAACCAAAGGCACTGACTTATGTTCTTTTTTAACTAATTTTTTTTTCCTGCTACAATACCATTTTAACATATTAGATATATCCTCCACTCTCATTTCAGCAAAAACAAAAACAGAAAACAACAGAGATATAATAGATCTACAGTTGTCCAAAATTTATATAATCCCTTTAGCCTTGGTTGCAATATAATTTTATACTTTCTAAGTTGAATAATGTGTTCTCACTATTCTTAATGGCAAGGTAAAGTATGGGAAAAAATATTTACAGACACCTAAACAAATCCCACCCCCCCAAAGGTAAAAGAAAATACTGTTAAAGTACCAGAAACATTTTAGAAAAGTAATCCATAATCTCCATTAATCCATGCTTCAACTTTGAGAAGATATAGCGCCAAAACTTTAAGTATTCAGGGGAAGAAACAAATGTATATTTCCAGAACTAAGAAGCTTATGAAGAGATGAACTTTACTCATTTCAAAAAAGAAACTATTACCTGTGCAGAGTACCCGTTGAAGAAGGAGTACCAGAAGTGAACCAAAGTAAATGCAAAGTTTTTATAAAAGAAGTATCGTAGGAACTTGCACATCCGTATGTAAGACCACCGACCATGCACCAGTAACAATCTCTGCAGGTATCTGAACTGAGCGAAGGAAAAGTCACTCGACATGACAGCCTGCATGCCTTCTTGTCCACTTATTCCAACACCAATGTGGGCAGCTATTGGGCAGAGGGAGAAGATACTGTGAATCGTAAGCCTATCTTTAAGGCAAGACATTGAGATGGTAACAGTGTTTCAATAGCAACTCAAAAACAAAGACAGGTATTCATGGAACAGGAAATAGAAAAGTTCTTGCTCACCATCCCAGACCTCCAGCTTCTGACCTCAACTCAAAGTCAGAGGTACAGTTTGCTCAACAGAAGCTCAGCAGGAACTCCCTAGATACTTGTGAAAGGATCTCGTGTAGCTGGTGAATTCCATTTGGATTATCTGCTCAGCCCATAAGCCATCCCTCCCAACCACAGGGACCCATGTTTATACCATGTATGTCTGCCTGTCTGGCCACAGCTAAGTCAATCATGAGCAGATAGGTAATCTGAAGAAGACATTAGCAATTGGCTCTCTCAACCTCTATTCTCTGCCTTTGTTCTAACTTGAGAGGTTGAGAAGCAAATTTTAAACCCCACATTTCCTAGACTCCCCTGTAGGGAGGTTGCCTATGTGGATTAGTTCTACCACTTGGACACACTTTTCAGTGGTTTAGAATGGAAAGTGAATCAGAGCCCAACATCCCTCCCCCTAGCAATTTCTGCAGTAGAATTCATATCCATATCCCAGCCTGTTGACAGGCAAATGCAAAGTGTTCTTTTTTTTTTTAATGCATTTTATTGAAATATAATTTATGTACAGTGAAATACACAAAACTAAAGTGACATGGGTCAATTCTTTTTTTTTTTTTTTGCAATGTTCCCTCCCCTCTTCTCCCACCCCTGACAACCAGTAAAGTTTCCCTCCATATATAAACCTTTCCTTGACCCTCCACAACAACAAATTAGTTTCTTACAACTAATACTCTACTTGTCCTTCTGTGATTGACTTATTCCCCTCAGCATAATGTACTCCAAGTTCATCCATATTATGCGGTGTTTTGCAGACTCTACATTATTCTTTACTGCTGCATAGCATTCCATTATGTGTATGTACCGTAGTTTGGTCATCCACTCTTCCGCTGATGGGTACGTAGATTGTTTCCATCTTTTATGCAAAGTGTTCTTAACTGAGAGGTTCTCCAGAAGACCCTCAAATGTAGAAGCTCCTCTGGAGAATAATCCAGAGCTTAGAGACTCAGCTTAGACCTTTTTTCAATCTACTCAACCTTTTACAAGCACCCAATTCCCTGTATTAAATAACTACTTACTGAAAATACCTACAGTGGTCTGTTTCTTGACCTAAATCCTAAATGATAGAAAATTCAAATTGGGCAAATCTGTCTTTTTCTTACATCTTAAAATTAGGATTTTAGTAAATCTGTGTGTATGTGTGAGAGAGAGAGAGTGTGTGTGTGTGTGTGCAAGGCTAATATGTAAAGTTTTGAGACATGGTACAGATAAATTGATTTCTGAGGGATTGTCAGGCCTGAGAAATAAATTGTCTGCAGAGAGACAGACAGCCAGGCTGTCAGTCAGTCAGGCAAGCAGACAGACTCTGGGTTCCTAGTGCACTCCCAGCATTTTCTTGAGCCCCGGCCTCTTGGGTGCCGTTAGACAGCTATGAATCTTTATTGTAAATTCCTTCTGTCCTTTAGGTAGCTTCAGTTGTTCTCTGAAACTTATAATCAAAAGAGTTTTAACAAAACACTTTCAAAGACCTAGTCATGGTCCACCCATGACCTTAAGATTTTGAGGACAAAAGTTTTCTAGAATGAATTTAAAAAAGAAAGAAAAAAAAAAGTCATAGTCTGATTCAGTCTTCTAAAAAAATCATTAAATACTGTTTTCACATTAGTAGATTATAGGTTTCATGTAGGTCTTAAAAGCCACAAAACTTTAAAAAAAAAAAAAGACACAGATAAATTAGAAAAAAATATGTTAGTAAACACAACCTTAATAGGTGTGTTTTCACTCAGCCCCCGAGAAGTCTGCAAACTCAGCAGAGTTACTGACTAAAAGCAACTTCAAAAATGCTGTCCCAGTTGTAGAACACAAGGTCTGGCAAATTCCAGGCATAACATTAGTGACCTGACCAAACCTAAAAGTTTTCAATAACACATTGCAGTCCTGAAAAATAAGTTGTATTTCAGTCACTATTGATGGCCCCTTTCAAAACATACAAATGGTTCTTATTATCACTGTGGCTGCCAAACTGCTCTTTCCTCCCACACCACAGCCTTTTCTCCTGAATAAGCAACAGAAGGAAAGGTGGTGATGCTTCCCGGCTGTCGGGCTATGGAAGAGGAGCCCTTGCTTCAGGAGCTGGCATGCAGCCTAACCTTTCCACTGAGCAGACCAAGGGCAATATGGGAAATGAACACTGTCACAGCTCACTGGGTAATTAAAGGCAACTGAGCAGATGCTCTATGAAGCAACACAGCCTTTTTCTAAAATCTAAATATAGGCACCAAGATTTTCCAAATGTGGTTTCAAATGCCTCATTGCTAAGCCCCAGTTAACCAGTGCTGTTGAGTAGATGCTGGTTCTTGGTGGCCCATGTGGGTCAGAGCAGAACTGGGCTCTCTGAGGTTTTCAAGGGCTGATTTTTCAGAAACAGATCTCCAGGCCTTTCTTCCAAGGTGTCTCTGGGATGACTTGAACCATCAATCTTTCAGTTAGTCGCTGAACACTTAACACTCTGTGCCACCCAGGTGGCCTTTTATTATCAGGTACTCCACTGTAATCCCCAACGAACCAATCTCTTACTCTCTTACTAAAGCCCTGCTTTTATCTCATCTCTTTCCTGCCGCCTGTATGTTACCAGAGTCTCAGACCAAGAAAAGACCAGACCCACCCAGCCCATAGACATCCTTAGGCACAAGACAGGGAGAAGGGTCTCACAAGTAGCTCATGGGGTAAAGACATGGTGGTTGCAATTCCCTCTACTTTTGACCATCTTTGTGAAACTACATAATAAATGTTCCTGTTATTTCTCTCCTTTAGTGGTTCAGGTCTCACTGTCTGTCTGTGCAAGACTCCCTTTTGTTCATCTTACTTTTGATTTTATGCTAAACAGGAAACATGTTACCAAATGGTGGGATTATTTTGACATCTGAATTTCACTTTACTCCTTTATGAACAATTCTTTCTGTATATTGCTCTTGATTCAGTTGAAAGAAATTAAACCATTTATAAATTACAAAAAGGCACTAACAATACTTGAAGAAACCTACTAACTTCCAATGAGACCTCAAGGTGTGCTCAAGATGGATGGTCCATAAAAAACAAATAAGCAAAAGCCAACCAGTCGCTATTGAGTCAATTCTGGTTCATGGTAACTCTATGTGCTGCAGTGTAGAAGTATGCTCTATAGTTTTTCAATGCTGTGACCTTTAGGAGGCAAACTGACAGGATTTTCTTCCAAGGTGGCTCTGGGTTGGGTTTGAACCACCAACCTTTCAGTTAGTAGTCAAGTGTTTAACGGTTTGTCCCACAGGGACTCCTGGATGCTCCTTAATTATATATAACTATAATATTCACATATAAAGGCCCCTGGCATAGGCAGACCTTAATAAAATATTTAGAAAAACTGAAATTTTCTTTACAGTTAGCTGTGATGATTTCCTTGACCCCTCTTGCTTTTGATCAGTGAACTCTGAAGAAAAAGAATTTCAAGGCTAAAGTCAGATAATCATCAGATGGCAAAGCTAAGGCAACCCACTCCCAGCATCTAGAAGACTACATTCAAACTAAGTAAAAAGAATATCTAGTTAGGCCTTTGGGAGCTCTGGTAGCATAGTGGCTAAGACACTTGCCTGCTAACCAGACGGCTGGCGGTTCAAACCCACCAGCCACTCCTCGGAAGGAAGGTTGGGCAATCCTACTTCCGTAGTGATACTGCCTCGGAAACCCAAGGAGGGGTCGCTATGAGTCGGGGCCGACTCGACGGCACATAACAACAACAACAACAGTTAGGCCTTTTGGCACAGCTAGTTAAGTGTAAGGAGCTCTGGTTGCTTAGTACCTAAGGCACTTGACTGCTAACCAGAAGGCTGACGGTTCAAACCCACCAGCTATTCCTCGGAAGGAAGATGGGGAAATCTACTTCCACAGTGATACTGCCTTGGAAACCCAAGGAGGGCTTGCTATGAGTCGGGTCCAACTCGATAGCACATAACAACAACAACAGCAGTTAAGGGTAAGGAGCTCTGGTAGCGTAGTGCCTAAGGCACTTGACTGCTAACAGGGGCTTGCAGTTCAAACCCACCAGTCACTCTTCGGAAGGAAGGTTGAGCAGTCTACTTCTGTAGAGATACCACCTTGGAAACTCAAGAAGGGGTCACTATGAGTTGGATCTGACTCGATGGCAGTGCGTTTGTTTTTTGGTTTTAGTTAAGGGTATGTAATGGAAAACAAACCGAAGCTGGCTACAGCGGAAAAAACAGGCTTGATTTCAAACAAGAAATGCCATTCATATGGTAGGACAAGCATGTGCAAGGAACAGTAAAGGGGAGTCACTGACAGCGGAGACAGACATACACACAGATAACAAAGCAAGAGCCATACGTCATAGAGAGGACTCCTGCTGAGGAAGATAAAGTTGGAGTATCCTTAGTGCGTATCAAGGAAAAGGAGGAGAGTCTAAGAAAAGAAAGACAGACCCATGAGTCACAAAGTAGCAATATTCAATGCATTTAAGCTACCAGAACAACAACAATATATATATATATATATATATATATGGATATTCATAAAATATTTCATCTTAATAATATCACAGAGCTGGAAGAGACAACACAGATAATTTTCATTTTCAGATGAAAAAACTAAGACCTCAGAGGATAAGCCCAAGGTGACACAGCATTTTGGCAGTAGTAGGCCAAGTATTCAGGGCCACCTAGTTTGGGCATTTTCAGTACAAATCACTCTTTTCCAGCACAGAGAGAAAAAGGGAGCAGGACTCAGCTGCATAGACAAGAGGCCAGGGCTCGGTTCCGCACACTTGAATAACAGTGCAAGCGTGTTTCTGCATCCTTTCGTGTGTGGGAACCTCAGGTCCTCCTCCAACCAGCAAAACATCCCCTGGCAGTTTTCCAGGAAGATCAGGAGGGCGAGACCACGTTGTGCTTCAGTGCCAAACGTGCTCCTCTGAACTCACACCAGGTCACCCAACGGTAACGTTCCAACAGATTTACCAAAGGCAGGAAGACGGCTGAGAGGGAATATGTTCTCAAAGCCAATACCAGAGAGAGCACAGTTCAGCACTTAGTGCTCAGCTCAGCAGAATGCTGGGTTTTGTTTTTGGTTTTTGCAAAAATATATCAGGATTTTTAAGAAGCATGAGCAAATAGGAGGAGGACCAACAAGAGGGAGGGGAGAAACCAAAACAAAATGTATGTAAAAGAAGGAAAGAAATAAGGGTAAACCCACTTTTAGACCAGAATTTAGCCTAGTCTTCTACTCAGTACTCTCTGAGTACCAGTGTCATTCCTTACATTCCTGCTAGCTAGACTGTGAGTTTCCTGAGTGTGGGTCACAGGCTTAGTCATCATGGTTAACTCAGTTAAGAAATGCCATCTGAAAACACTTCCCTAAAACACATTCCTGCCATTTCTTCTCTTTAGCAATTCAGGTCTCACTGGCCATCTGTACGAGACTCACTTTTGATCATATTTACGTCATTGGCCCCATCTCCAATCGCCAGCGTGATGGCCTTCTTGTACCTCTTCACCAGGTCCACCACCATGGCCTTCTGCTTGGGCGTGACACGGCAGCAGATGACTGCGCTGCACTCGCAGGCCAGGTCCACAAAGTTCTTCTGCTGCTGCTCTTTCTTAGCCTCAAGTCTTCTTTTACTGTGAGTCCGCATCCGTCTTTCCTCTTCTGTCCTCGGGAACTTCAGTTTCAGAATCTTACTTCTCTTGCTCTTTTTCTCTAGAAGAATTTCATTCTGCAAGATCAAAGAAGGAAATGATAACCACCATTTTAATTTTTACACTAAATACTATTCCATTCCCCAAACTTTAATTATGGGAAGAATAATTCCTGGGTGTGTTGTAGCATCGATTATTTTATTCTGACTATAAAATATATTTACAATAAAAATGAAAATACAAACATGTGCAAAGAAGAAAATTAAAATTGCTTATTAATTGATAGGCAAGGGATAACCAGTGTTAATCAGTTTAGTACAATTCCTTTTGTTTATATATAATATTAAGTGTCAGACTTGGGAAGATATACTTTCACTTATAAGCTAAGAGATTTTTTGGTTGTCACTTAATATGTAATCCCATCCAAAACTGGTCCATAACAAACGGCTTTAGTTTGAGACAAACAAATGGATACACCAAAGATACATACCAGCCAAGAACCAGTGATGATTAAAGCACGGTTTCCGCCAGAAGGAAAGAAAGGTTCATGCACCGGGGGTGCGAATTTTGCATAGACTCCACCTCTGTTCCTCTGGTTTTCCATCCTTGTGTGGAGAAGAGAACTAGGAGAAACAAATGGAAGTGTTGAAAACACATGAACATAAACAGGTCCTTCACTGTGAGATATTTTGACATGCAGTCAATTCTCATTATTCAAGGTATTTATGTTCTATAAAGTCATTGTGAACACTGAATTAGCAGATACAGAACCATTGCTCCTACAGGAAACCACGGGGTTAGGTTCCTCCATGCCTCTAGTCACAGTTTTTCATCAACCAATCAATACATAACTTTATTTTATGTGTGTTTCTGCTTTAAGTAGGAGCCCTGGTGGCACAGTGGTAAAGCACTTGGCTGCTAACTAAAAGGCTGGTGGTTTGAACCCAGCAGCCACTCTGTGGGAGAAAGATGAGGCAGCCTAAATGGTTTTAGAAACCCTACAGGGCAGTTCTACTGTGTCCTATAGTGTTGCTAAGGAGCTCTGGTAGCATAGTGCCTATGGCACTTGACTGCTAACCAGAAGGCTGGAGGTTCAAACCCACCAGCCACTCCTCAGAAGGAAGATGGGGCAATCTACTTCCATAGTGATACTCCCTCGGAAACCCAAGGAGGGGTCACTATGAGTCAAATCTGACTCGATGGTACATAACAACAACAACATAGGGTTGCTAATGAGTTACAATCGACTCAAGGGCAGTGTGCATGGTTTTTGGTGGATTGATTGACTAACAATGAGCTCACGGGCAACAGTGCTAGAACGCATGCTTGAATTAAATGTATTTAAACATGTGTTTTCTCCGTAAGGCGTATCCCAGCCTTGTGTTAGGAACAGTAAGCAGCACTTTAGTACTCTGCTTGGGGGCCATATTAAACAGTGAAATCACCAACAAAAATGCAAAGGATGGCTGCAGTGAGGACATTTGCTAGCAATATGAGAACCAAAACAAGATGGCAGAGTGTCACCTTGTTTGACGTCAGCTGGGAACGTGCACGTTGGTGACAGAATTTTTCACCGCTCTCAGTGAATGACTGGGAGTGCATAGTGAGTACTGATTTTGGGGTTACAGATAAATTTTAGCAAGTAGGCAAATTCGCAAATACAGAATCTGTGAAAATAAAGATCAACTGTATAACCCTGGTTCCTCCACCATGGAGCACCATGTTTGTGGCACTTCATAATCTGCTCAGCACCCAAAGAAGGATGCAGTTGACAGTGTGCTCACAAGCAACAGAAGGAAAATGATCTTGATCCTGAATTCCAATACATTGGGGGTGAATCCTACCTCCCAAGTTTAGCAGAAAGGAGGTCCTTTCTAGTTTATGTGAACAAACTAACAAGAAGACCAAATGTAACACATCCACATGATAAAACATGAGTCATGGAATTTTAGGAGTGGAAAGGACCTTGTCCAATCTCCTCATGTTATAAATAAGGAAACCAAGCCCAAAAGCAGTGTTGTGAGTTGCTTGAAGCAAGTTGACGGGAAATTGGAATGAGGACTCAACTCTCTGAATTCTCAGCACCGAACTTTTCCCATCTCTCTCTTTCTCACACACACACAGACAGACATGATTTTTCCTTTCAAGAGCTGGTTTTTCAACCTTGGCATTGTTGACTTTTGGGGCTGGATAAGTCTTTGCTGTAGGGGCTGTCCCTCATGCATTGTAGGGTATTTAGCAACATCCCTGGGCTGTACCCACTAGATGCCAGTAGTACTCCCCTCTCCTGTTGTGGCAAGCAAAAATTTCTCCAGACATGGCTAAAATGTTCCCAAGAGGGCAAAATCACCCCTATTTGAGAACCACGGGAGCTCTGGTGGCATACTGCCTAAGGCATTTGACTGCTACCCAGAGGGCTGGTGGTTCAAACCCACCAGCCACTCCTCAGAAGGAAGGTTGGGCAATCTACTTCCATAGTGATACAGTATATATTCAAAATATTCTACAGGAACCATCTTTTTTCAGGAACTACTCAGAAAGATAATTCACTTCTCTATAAAGATAAACTTGGCTAGGAGCACTTGCATAAAATTTGCTACTTGCATAAATTTTTTGTTAGCACATGGCCCAATTTTCAACATTTTTGGCAGAAAGAACTTTTCTTAAGGCCCCACTGATAAGAAATAAAACATTATGATCATTAACCAAATTACTTGAAACCAAAGAAAAATATATTAAACATTTATTTGTCTGTTGCTACTTTCTAAAAGCTAAAAGCACAAAGAGGCATGATTTATGTACCCCTGTTCAAACAGAACTGATCTATTTAAATTCTCAGGTCACTTAGAAGACTGCTGACTTTGCTTGTGTAATTTAGCAGAATGCCCATACACTGGAGCAACTTACGAAAGCTTCATCACCACCACTAGAGAGAAGACTAATAAAGACCGTCAGTTCCCTCATCATCTTACAAGACCACACAAGTGCCAGTGTTAACAGCTCCATTTGGCCTTGTGCTTAGAGGAGGTCAGAAAGAGCTTGAGGAGTAAATGGATCTATCACCCCATCAACAAACACATCACAGTAACTGAGTGTAGCACATTCAAGCTTCCTAACAAGACACAGCTTCTGCTACATGTTTCCAGGTCAGCTGTGACTCTGGTTCAAGGGTGATGGTGTCAGCATTAGCTGAAGTTTGAAGTATTACGCTTGCCCCACCTGACAAATGGCCATAGAGTCGAGTCAGTCCCAGCTCATAGCAACCCCACACGTGTCAAGGTAGAACTGTGCTCCGTAGGGTTTTGAATGGCTAGTTTTTTGGAAATAGATGGTCAGGCCTTTCTTCCAAGGTACTTGGAGGGAGATGCAAACCTTTAACACTTCAGTTAGCCACTGAGCATGTTAACCGCTTGCTCAAAGACTCCCTGACCGATCTAGGCAGACCAAGAGCAACCTACAAGACATATATAACCCACCAAAACATTTCCTTCCAGGCAGGTTCTTATTTTTGTTTCTTTTCCTTTTCTTTTGAGGATCCTGGGTGATAGAAGCAGTTTGTGACTGTTGGTACCCTAAAGGTTGGTGGTTCAAACCCACCCAGCAGTACTGTAGAAGAAAAGGCCTAGTGATCTGGTTCGATGACAGTTACAGCCAAGAAAACCCTAGGGGCAGTCCCACTCTGTGACACCTAGGGTTGCCCTGGTCAGGATCGATTTAATGGCAAAGGGTTATTTTTCTTTCAAAATTCCTCAAGAAGGCAATACATGAATATAATTCATATGAACTTGCTAGTGATGTTGCAGGCCCACTTCCTTAATTAGCAGATGGGTATCAAGATCTTCTAAGGAATGGAGACAAGTGGTTCCCGAAAGGGCAGTTGAAGGCCCCATATTTTCCTAAAACACAGATCTGCTCAAAATAAGAACAAACTATCGTAACGTGACACCAGCTATTCTCTTCATTTAAATGTGAGGGAAACCCATGGGTACATTCTTGCTCCCTTTTCCACATATCTGCTGCATTTACCAACAGTGACTCTCATCTATGAGAATGAGAATGTGACGTGCTCTAACAGCACGGGCCCTTGACTTACTTTATATCTTCCCCATAGCAGATAGTGGTGTCTTCAGTCAGAAGTTCACAAGCAAATCCTATATTTTCAGCAGTTTCTACAACAGAATAAAATTAAGTCAAAGGTCATTCCTACTACTCAAGTGAGTAACTGACTTTCTCTAGGAATAACAGGTTTTATTTTTTTTAATTAATGAGCATAACCAGATTCAAACAAGTATGTTGTTCTTCCTATAGTAATGTACAGAAATCACATTTAAATAAAAAACTCCATAAAAACCCTTTCTGTAATAAAATAAATGAAATTTAAAGTCTGGGAAGAGATACTACAATAATAAAATGTGCTAGATTATCAAATAAGGAGCACTGGTGGCACAGTGTTTAAGTGCTCAGCTACTAACCAGAAGGTCAGTGATCTGAACCCACCATTGGCTCCACAGCAAAAAGATGTGGCAGTCTGCTTCTGTAAAAATGGCAGCTTTGGAAACCCTACAGGGCCGCTGTGCTCTGTCCTCCTATGGGGCTGCTATGAGTCAGAGTCGACTCGATAGTGATGTTTTTTTTAAAATCAAATACATATACTCATTATTTAATAAATCTTCATTAAGGTATTAAATACACTCAGCAGTTTAATCCCTGTTATGTTAAATAAAGAAATAATTTATCTGAAGATTTTTTTTTTCCCGCCCTTTTTCTGTTACCATAAATTGACATTTGTGTAAAGCCAGAGCTAGGTTTCCCTTAGCTTATCAGAGTGTGTCATCCACGGAAAACACTGATACAAAAGAGAGCAAGAGAAATCAACTCGTTTCCCCTGAGCAGCTGTGGAGTAAGGTATCAACCTCCAACAACTACATATGGAACTTGAAAAATAAATTCTTTGGGTATCAGGTTTTGATTAAAATTTTCAAGCAATAAAATGGGAATTAAAAAAAAATGTATCTATAAATAACTCAGAGTTGATCAGCACTTAGTACTATCCCACTGTGTCCAACAAATAGCAAAGAGCTGTGGGATGGGGAGGACGACCAGCCACGTCTGGCTGGAGGGATAAGACTCATGCCAACCAGCGACACAACCAGGAGCTAAGTGACTAAGTGATAAGGCAGAAATTCTGCTGTCATGAAAGGTCAGGGGAGGATGCGTTCAGGATGGGCTGGAAGAACTGAGAAGGACTTTTCAGGGAAACTGCCTCCATCCGCAATGGATAGGGTGTGGACAGGATGGAAAGTCTGAGAAGGTCATCTTGGGCAAGGAACACAGCAGCTCGCTGGTGGTGTAGTGCCTAAAGCATTTGACTGCTGACCAGAAGACTGGCAGTTCAAACCACTAGCCACTCCTTGGAAGGAAGACTGGGCAATCTACTTCCGTAGTGATACAGCGTAGGAAACCCAAGGAGGGGTTGCTATGACAACTCCAGGGCAGTGAGTTTGGTTTTAGTTTTAAATTTCTGTGAATTAGCAGAGACATTTTCCATACAATCATTTACCCTTTTTGTCTCCAGTTAGCACCCAGATCTTAATGTCTGCTTTTGCCAGTTTTGAAATGGTTTCTGGAACTCCATCCTGAAGCTTGTCTTCAATGGCTGTAGCTCCCAACAGCTGGAATGGACATGAAAAAGAGGAATTAAATAAACCAGAAATTTCTTGCCATTGCAGTCTGCCAACCTGTAAACATGGCAGTTTACCAACCAATAAATATTCTCCTGGAGCCAAAGGCCAGCATTAACAGGGAAGGCTGTGGTGTTTCATCCTCACCACAGATCAAACAGCTAGAAACTGTTCTCTTAAAGTCTAAACTGCTTAATTTACCAAGGCAAAAAAGCAAGTACAAAATCAAGGACAATATACTGTCTTGTGCATATGCTGGTATACACAGACATAAGCCAGTGCCCCTTATTAACAGCCAGTACTACTACTACTTGTTGAATACTTCCCATAAATTTGAGCTCCACAAGCTCTAAGTATCACATTTTCGCAAATTTGACTTAGAAATGGTAAATTTTTCTCATTTCAAGGTTTTGCAAAATATAAATGTAAATCACTGCAACCATCCCCACAATGTCAGAAGTACATGCTGGCTGGGAACCATAAAAATCATCACGAATTTTAATGTAATGCAAATATAAAAACAACAGAATGGGATTAGGTTTTCTACTGTTTTCTGTGTTTTGGTTTCTCCTAATGGCATAGAAGCAGCAGTTAAGGAATCAAATGACATACTGCATTGGGCAAATCTACTGCAAAAGATCTCTTTAAAGTGTTAAAAAGCAAAGATATCACTTTGAGGACTAAAGTACACCTAACTCAAGCCGTGGTTTCCTCAGTTGTCTCATATGCATGCAGAAGTTCGACAATGATAAAGGAAGATGGAAGAATTGATGCCTTGAAATCAGGGTGTTGGTAAGCAATACTGAATACACCATGCACTGCCAGAAGAAGAAACAGATCTGTCTTGGAGGATGCTCCTTAGAAGTGAGGACAACAAGACTCTGTCTTGCTTACTTTGGATGTGTTATAAAGAGAGACCAATCCCTACAGAAGGAAATCATGGTCGGTAAAGTGGAGGGTCAGTCCAAAAGTGGAAGACTCTCCCAAGATGATGGAATGACATAGAGGCTGCAACAGTGAGCTCAGACACACCTCCTCCTGTGAGGATGGTGCAGGATCAGGCAGTGTTTCCTTCTGTTGCACACAGGGCCACTATGAGTCACAATCAACTGGATGGCATCGAGCAACAGCTGACAACATAATGGCAATACTTCTATTTTGATTACTGAAGAAATGAAATTCAAATGACCTAGTTCCACTGTACCAATTTCCAACACTGAAGTTAGAATTATTTTTCAAATATGAGATAAAAACTATAGTAATAAAGTTTCCAGGACTGTTTAGAATGTCAAGGGCAAAGGTATTAAGGCTGTGACTCACAATTAAGTCTTTTTCAATCTCTTCATACACTTTGTCTAGCGCTTCCTCCCGGTTGGTTGAGGCCAAGCTGGCAGCCATAAACTTTTTATTCCATTCTGCAAATTCTTTCTCTTCAATTTCCTTATAGCAGAGGCACAGGGTCCTGAGAGTCTCACTTGCAAAGATCTGTTTGTTTGAAGGACAATCCACCCACCCGCAGAATAGTTAATTTTAGGTAATTCAAGATACATGTGAAAACTTATTTTGAATTAATACTCAAGGAAATTAAAAATAGACCATGAAATATGATAAATGCTGTACAAATACATTTTTCAGAGGAGATTAAATAAAAGACTTTGTTTTCCCAGGTATCCTTAGGTTACTATCTCCTAATTTGTTAAAGGGAGAAAGTGTATCTTTCTTTTAAATCAAGTTACTAGGGTGAAGAAAAGCTTTTCCTGTTAATGACTAAGAGAATAGTACATGAATGGAGTTACCTTGGGTGTAAAGTGTTGTAAACACAAACCTGAAAACTTTATAAATTTGTTCCTACAAACTGTGTTTAGCTATGAACTTTCAACCAAGCATTCATTCCTCAAATCAGCTCTCAAACACATGAACCATTAGTAAAACTGAAATAAAACATTTCTTGTGGTGAACAGATTTAAATCATTTTAAATAGCTTAAATGTGAGCCTATAAAAATGTTTTATTATTTCATAGTCACATTTTATCTGTTTAAGAAGTACTTCCTACTGGGAACTGTGCAAGATGCTTTTTTGCAACACCCCTCCATGGTGAAATTATCTCTCCACTCTTACACGTCAGGAATTAATGATTCATATGATATACCAACCATTTCTTCCAAGGACACAAAAGTATTAAAGAGGCAGACATGGGACTCCAGCTCTGACTGATCTCTACTACATCTCCTTGCCATAATTGTACAGAATCAAAACAATGAGAAGATTGGTAAGCAATTCCAAAAATGAAAGTTCCAGAAATATTCTGAGTCACTGCAACATCACTAGATTTAAGTATATAGCCTTGTTAGGTAACTAGTTACAGTAGTGAAAACCAAACTGATCTACTAACAAAGTGTAGCCTTCAATAATCCAACACATTGCTTTGTCATGACAGGTCATATTTGAATGTGTTAATTCTTTCACCATGCTATGCTATACTATACTATACTATGCTATACTACACTACACTACACTATACTATATTATATTGAGTAGGGGGATACAGATATCAAGATGACAGCTTGGTAGGGTATGGAGCTCACTCAAGATGACTGGAAGAGAGGCACAAGTCCCGGAGTCAGTCCTCCCAACCCTGAAGACCTGGGAAAAGGCACCATGGCCATTGCCCAGGAAGTCCAAGTAAGGCAGCACTGGAACCTAACCTGCCACATTTCCACGTTGGTACTCCTCTCACTCATATACACCCAGGCAAGGGAGGAGCCAGCACTTAACATACAGCTTTCACTCAAGGTTAAGCAACAATACTAGAAAGTTGACAATCTTTGGCATGAAGAGTGAGTGTGACACTTACATCCAGGGCATCCTGTGTCTCCTGTTTTGTAGGATTCATCTGATGTAACCTTTCATAAATGACGGTATCTGCACCTTTACAGTAAAGCCTGATATTGCCTTCTGGGGTTCTTACTGGAAGGAAAAGCAAATAAACCAGAGTTTGATTTCTTAATCAAAACCCACATGTATAAAGATAATTTGATTCTTACTGTGTTAATGATTCACCTATTAGTTTAAAATCATCAGTGCCCCTAGAACAGGGCTGTCTTCGACAGAGTTGGCAAACTGCTTCCACAGAGAATGTAATAGCGAAATCAGTATGAATAGAGTCCTTCAGAGTTGGCTCAGTTTTCCCTATCTGTCTTTATTCTTTTGACAAATGTTTACTGACTTCCTACTACGTTTTATGTTCTATACTAGCGACTTTCTTCCATAATCATTGTCCATGCCCACCAATAGGAATCTTTCTGATCTATAAACTCACAAGACTTATTGTTAGGTATTGCCAAATCTATTTTCAACACATAGTGACCTCATGTGACAGAGTAGACCTGCCCCATGGGATTTTCTAGATTGTAATCTTTATGGAATGAGATCACCAGATATTTTTCCCATGGAGCAGCTGGGTCGATGTGAACCACCAGCATTTAGGTTAGCAGCTGAACTGCGTAACCATCGCACCACCGGGGCTCTACTGCCTTTAATATTCAGATGATGGAGTAATTTTTTGTGATTATTTTCTTGTATTTTTTAAAAATTTCTGTAATACTTTAATCATAGTACATGTCTCATTGCTAACTAGATTTTACATTCTCTAAGACATGTCAGGCATGATTATCAGCCTAGGACAGTGCTGGGAAGGTTTAAAAAAAAAACAACAAAAAAAACCCCACTGCTATCGAGTCGATTCCAACTCAGTGACCTTACAAGACAGAGTACAACAGCCTCATAGGGTTTCCAAAGCTGTAACTCTTTATGGAAACAGACTGCCTCATCCTTCTCCCGCGGAGCAGCTGATGCATTCAATCACCGACCTTTTGCTTTAACCACAGTGCCACCAAAACAAGGGCCTTAGGCCTACAATATACTCTGAAGTGGTTCAGAAAACAATAACCTGTATATATAATGAAAATGCCAAAAGAAAAGCAGCAACATGTTAACAATGGGTGGACATGCAAGGGTATACAGGAGCTCTTTATTCTTGCAACTTTTCTCTAAGTTTGAAATTATTTCAAAACATGAAGTTAAAACAATTGACTATTAGGTCATGCTCATCATCTTCACTTGGTGGCCTGCTGAGCATGCCTGGACCGGAGGTTTGATTTTATTCCCAAGCACAGCCTCGCTCTTCCTAGAACCGCTCTCCTGCTGTGTCCTCACCTCTCTGATGGCACGGGCAGAGCAGCCCCACTCAGGGGGCTCGCACGTCACAGCAGAACGTGTCAAGGCTGCGAGTTGTGCAGCTGCTGCTTTCTGTGTGTGACATGTGCCATCTAGACACAGCAGCCGGCACCCACATTTGCTCTTATTGAAGAACGCCAACAGGATTTGCAAGATTCAGATGTCCTACAGCTGATGGGCATTGCTCAGAATGAAGGAAAAGACACCAGTTTCAGTAAGTCAGCTGAAACCGTCCAGGAGCCAGGTTGTTGGTTGGTCCACTGCCTACTCTGAGCTGCTGTTACTCCATAAAATGTGTGAAAGGCAATACCCAAATGAGTGATTCAAAGACATACCCTGAGGGTGACCTACCAATGATAGACATCCGTTTCCGGTCACTGTTGAAGTCTAAGATGGCAAGAACACTGTAGGTCCTTTCAGTCCCCATCTCACTGATGGTGATGGTGTTTTGCGTCCTTGCGAGGAAGGCAAAGCCAAAGTTCCTGGCGGCATTTACCAGAGCACCTTCATCAGGAGAGGCAGCCTGATAGTTGAGCTGACCTGACCACGGAAACAAGGAGAGAAAACCCAGAGAATTCACTACCACTGAGGATTAAGTGGGGTCAGAATGGATTGCAAAACTCAAAACAGCCACAAACCAACAAGTCATTGAATCTTAAGGATTATTCCAAAATTGAAACTTTTTGAACTTTAAAGTTTTATTCCAATTATAAACAATAATACAAACTAGAAGTTAAAACAAAATAGCCAAAAAGAGGAAAAAACCAAAACCAAAAACCCACCGCCACTGACTCGATTCCAACTCATAGTGACCCCCACTGGGTTTCCAAGGCAGTAAATCCTTATGAAAGTAGATTTACCCCATCTTCCTTCCTCAAAGTGGCTGGTAGCTTGGAACTGCCAGCTTTCTGGTTAGCAGTCAAATGCCTTAGGCAAAAGCTACCATAATCCCACTATCCAGAGAAAATATAACACTATTGATATTCTGTCTTAATTCCTTCTCATACTTTTTTGTAAATATCCATTTTAAGTACTTCTACTATGCTGAACAAACATGTCCATCCTGATTACTGTTAACATTCTATTTAGCATACTGTCATATCTTTAAAAACTCTTCATAACCTTTATTTTAAGGATGTAAATGTGTTAGCATATGGATGTACTATAATTGACTGGTGGCAAAGTGCCTAACGCATTTAACTGCTAACCAGAAGGCTGGTGGTTCAAACCTACCAGCCAGTCCTCAGAAGGCAGACTGGGCAATCTACTTCTGTAGAGATAACGCCTTGGAAACCCAAGGAGGGGTTGCTATGAGTTGGAACTGACTCGATGGCAGTGAGTTTGGTTTGGTTTTACTCTATTATGAAGGTCACTTAAGTTATTTCCAAAATGTCTTTTTGCCATGAGAATAACATTATAATAAACATTTTTGCATGTGTGTAAGAGTTTTTGTGATTCTGGGAATAGATTCCCAGTAGTGAAAACAGTTAACTAGAAAATATGGATCATTCTTAAGCCTCTTGATATTTATTATTAGTTTTGTTTTCTGAAAAAGTTGTACCAGTTTATCTTCCCTCTAATAGAGTATATTTATTTCACCATAAATACATTTTAAAAACATTATTTTTTCAATCAAATCAGTATTTTGGTGTTTAAAAGTCAAATAATGGAAGCTGCCTTCTATTTACAACTATACTTAATAGGAACAAACCCCACAGTGTTGAGCACAAGAAGTCAAGCCACAAAAAAGCCCATGCTGAGTTCCCATAAGATGGTGGAATAGGCAGAAATACTGCACAGACCCTGTTCAACAAAGAAAAGGGGAACCAATTAACACAGATACAGAAGATAATCCTGGACCCCTGAGCCTTGAAGGGAAGGATATGGAAGCGGACTAACCTCCAACTAGCAGAAGAATTTGCATGAAAACACCAAAGAAGGAGATGTACGGAGCTACAGGCTGGCAGCAGTCCTGATGGCACAGACAGCTTGGATATTGCTGAGTGGTGGGAGGACATAAGAATTAACCTAAAAAATCAGCCCTGCAAGCCAGGGACTGCACAGAGGACTGCTCTGCTGACTGGTGAATAAAAGGGGAAGCAGCGAAGAGGAAGGCAGGCTGAGCTGTGAATTTTTGCTTGTCCGGAGAGCTCAGCCATTTTGAATGTTTACAAGTGGCTTGACCATTTTGGATATGTAAAGCGACAGTGTTCTCCCAGATTCCAGAGACTTAAGAACAGGCTCCACTGGCCAAGGAACTGCAAGGACATTCTGGACACAGACGACTGGAAAGGTGCAACATTCCCCTTATTACTCTTATACCCCACACCCTCTTGGTGAAAGGAGGTGTGGCCATCACTTACTCTCACCCACTTTCTGGGCCAGCAGGAATTCCATCCCAGTCTGTGAGCTTTGACAGAGCCTGGGTGCCCTGCCCTACCCTGCACCGATTTTTTTTTTCCTGTTTTTTAGTTTGTTTTTGTCTGTTTTAAAACTACTATTATTTTTATTACATTTGTCCTTTTCACTATTATTCTTCATTCTTTCCCTGCCAGGTTCTAGTTATCATCTTTTTTTCTTTCCTCTGTTCCTGGTTGCAATTTTCTTTTCTTTCTTGTGATTAACCTTGTTCCTTGTTTTTCTTTTTGGATTTTTCCCATTTTTTTTCTTCATTATTCTCCTTCTCTACCTTTATTCTCTTATTGCCTTCTCCCCAGATATTGAGGTTGTTTCATCTTTTTCTTTTTTCAGTCACTGCTCCTGCATGATTACACAGTGTGTGTTATGTCCATTTGCTTTTACTTTTTTGATGGTTATTCAATTGTTATTTTTGTCTAACTGAGTGGAAGACAGAAAAAGTCCCCATACAACACAACTATACCCACACCTCCTGCAGCGTCATGTACTGAGTGAGAGCCACCACTTCCTTCTCCACCAACTGGCCAATGGGCCAATGATAAGGAACCACCAAGAAGAACCTGACTCATCCTTGGCTGCCCTTCACAAAGAGTTAACAGAGATCTAAATACAACAATGCCACAATGTCTTGAAGACAAAAGACCATCACAGTCCACACAAAGAAGCAAGATAAAGCAGGAGAACAAGGGAGCAGGATACAGACCCAGAACACATCCCTGATGAAGAAGCAGC